GCAGCAGGAGGAGCTGCCGGAGGAGCAGCAGTAGCAGCAGAGGAGCAGCAAGATGAGCAGGAGGAACAGCACGAGGAGAAGCAGCAGGAGGAGCAGCAGAAGCAGCAGCAGGAGCAACAGGAGGACCAGCGGCAGAAGCAGGAGTTCCAGCAGGAAGAGCACGGAAGGATGAACACTGGTGGAGGAGCAGAATGAGCACCGGAGCAGCAGCAGGAGCAGCAGCAGCAGCGGCAACACCGCATTCCCTGAGTTCCTGCCATCCCCAGCGAACCAGATGCTTGCGAGCGCCACCATGCTTGTGAGCACCAAAGCACGCCTGCAAACACCACAGCCCACCCATGAGCATGGCGCCATACCTGAGGGGGAGCTGGCACCACCCACGAGCACGGTTCGATACTGTCACGGGGGGGGAGGAAGGGGGGAGGGCGATCCCCCCGTCACGGAAGTTACGGGTTCAACTAATAAACAACACTCTCATGAAGGAAACGGGCCCTGGGCCCCCAAGCCGTTCCCAAGGACTGGCTGCTCGTCCCGAATCGTCTTTTGCGACCTGGTGCCCGCGGAAGGCCCTGGGGCCTCGAAGGCGGCGAAACGCCCTGGGATCCGTTTCCCTCAGGACCCGCTTGCTTCCGGGTGCGTTCTTGGACTGAGCCGGACGGGCCCCCAGCTGGCCGCCCGCCACTAGGCTGCATCGCTGCCGCGTGATGGCCCGGGGCTTGGCGCCGCTGCGGTTGGCGGCCCACTCCCCGCCGCGCACCGGGCGCGGGCGTCTACCCCCCGGGGCTGGGTCGCTGCGCGCGGCAGTCGAGCAAAAGATGGATTCGCCTGGCACTCGTGCCCGCAGTCTGCACTCGCGTCGCCGAGCCCGTGCCTTTGCGAAGCCTTTGGGGTGCCTGGCTCCTCTTGGGCTCTCCAAGTGCCCCAAGCGCGAGCGCCGCAGCAGCTGCCGCCTGGACGCCCACCCCAGACCTCCGACGGACCTGTGTTTCAGCATGCGGGCTCCAGGGGAACCCTTCTCCTGTTTTGCCAGAGGGATGCCCTCAGTGCCTCCTTAGCATTGTCCTGGACCCTGGAGCCTTCCCCCAGGACGAGATCTTCATCCTGGGTCGTATGCTGACAGTCCCAGGGACCGTGGAGAGCCCCGAGAGACCGAAAACGACGAAAAATCTCAGGACCCGTTTCCCTCAGGACCCGCTTCCCCCATGGCGATCCCCTCACGAGGCCCAGAGGCCCTGCAGGGGTCCCAGGATGCCGGAGCCCCCACGGAGGACCACCCCTGCCGACGCCCGATCTTCCCAGGAGAAGGAACTTCCCGCCGCGGATCCATGTCTGATGGCCTCGTGACCCGACAGCGGCCCACCAGGACACGGAAAACGCCGTGATTGAAAGACTCGGTCCGCGGGAGGACTGGGAATGCCTCAGGGCCCGGGAACCAGGGGGCTCTCTGCCAGACTGGAGGCATTGCTGGGCGCGCCCAAGAAAGCTGCAGCCGTGGGTCGGATCCAGCGGGAATCTGCGAAACCCTGGCTCGCAACGCCTTGGATTCTGGGCTCCCGACAGCCTCAGGGCCCCCCCATAGACGGGGACGTCGATGAACCGGGGCAGTGGGCGCAGAGGAGACAACTGCAGCCGTGGGCCGAGGCTCCAGCTGGAATTTGCAAAATCATGGCTTGTACTGTCCTCATTTCCGGGTCCCTGGCTGGAACTTCCGCGGGGTGCGCTCTGACCAGGATCTCAAACCGCATCCAGCCGAGGCGACGAGGGACTCCCAGGAGGCCCACACAAGCGAAAACGAGGCGGAACGAGCGTAGGCACGGTTAGGCAACCACACGCGAAACCTACCCTTCCAGTGTCAGATTTCTGAAACGCCGGCTGGGCGCTCGGGTTCAGAATTCGAGGGATGTCTACAGCCAAATGAACCCCAGCGAGGGTGTCCGACACCCCAGTGCCGATTGCTGGCGGCGCGGGCACGGGAGTAGAGAGAGGGGGAAGGCTTCTCGGAAGGAAGCTACATCATAGACAAGGCCTGCGCGTTCTAAGAAGCAGGGGTGCTTCTGAGAAGCCTTCCCCCCTCCCCCTGTCCCCCTCTGCGCGTGGCTGAGATTGTACCCGCACGCATAGGGTTCGCACTTGGTCGCAGGAATGTCCTCGCTTCCGGGGCCCTGAGTGCGAAGCGGGGATTTATTAATATCCACTGCCTGGGAACCGACGTCCTGGGGCCCCAGCGGGCGGTGACATGGTGGATATGGGTTGATGTTGGCCCCCAGGAGCCCAAATATGTCCATCCCCATCGCTTTCGGAGATCCGCGAAAATCGATCCTCTAGGCAGTGGCTCTGTGTAAATCTCCGCCTCGACCTGAGACCCCGGGGGCCCTGCCTGCACGCCCGCCGCCGGCGGCCCCCGAGGCGCCCCCTGGGCTGCCCTGGCGGGGCCGGCGCGCGAGAGGCGCCCGGCTAGCAGCGGGCCAGCGCGCGGGCGCGCGGCCGCCCGGAGGCCCATTGGGGGGGGGGCCGGGTGCGTCGGACGACGCAGCCGACCCTGAGATGCGAGCTTGTGAAGAAAGTGCGACCTCGCGGGGAATCACGACCAGAGCCTCAAACCCTGCTGCATGTGTCGAGCTCGATCGACATGTGATGGCCCCAAGGCCCAGAGCAGGGCGAACACGCCCGGTGCGAAAAAAAAGCAACGCCCGGATCTCAGAGACTCCACGAGCCAGGCGTCGCAATCTGTGCGCACTAGGCGGTTCTGCCCCTCCTCGGGTTCCAGGGCCCTCACGGGTCGACCTGGCTCTGGGGTCGAGGGCTCTGGTCGTGACTTCTCACGACGATGTTGACTATTTTTCGCGCCGCTGGTTCGCAGGGAACGAGGCAGGTGCATCCCAAGCGGATTGATGTATTTCCCATGCCGGCGGCTTTCCTTCGAGACCTCCGAGGGGTCATGATCGGGCTTGGGGCCATCAGGAATGGATCCGGAGCGAGACATTGCCCGCGGGAAAAGGGAAGGGGTCGTCGGGACCTCTGGGACTCGCAGGCTGAAAAAGCACATCGTCGGATGTCTGGGATTCCAGGAAGGATTCCAGGTGGGTCGCCACACCGTCCTGAGGATCGAGGATCGACAACAAGGACGACCGAGGAGCGACCTGCCCGGTGGTGTCCCCCTTTGGCCCCGCCCGGGGGCGGGAGAGAGGCGGGCGAGAGGAGGCACCCGCCCAGAGGGAGGGCCCCAGAGGATCAGTAACCTTCAAAATAGAGGTTCGACCTCCATTCTGCCCGCCCAGGGGGAGGGCTCCAGAGGATCAGCAACCTTCGAAAAGGAGGTTCGACCTCCATTCTGGAAACGTGTTTCTCATTTTCTTTTCATTCTGGATGTGTTTGTCTTCCAGGCGCTCCCCACGGTCTCTCAAATCCAAGTCTCTCGAGGCCCCGTTCCGAGTTCCCGAGATCGTCGGGATCGCCCACGGGAGGATGTAATCGGTGGCAGCCTGTGTGCCCCCTGGCCCCGCGTAACTGCAGCGTGCAGCGCCGCCGACCAGCTCTGCGAAGATCAGAGCCAGACACTTGAAACGCGAAAGGAGGAGGAGGAGGAGGAAGAGGAGGAGGACCAAGGCGAGGAGCAGGGAGGCCAACGGGCAGCTGCTTATCGAAACCGGGCCCCGATGGAGGCATCAAAAACAGAAGCTCGTCCCCCGAAATCAAGGAGTTCGATCTTCTGGGGCTACCCGGCGCCAACGCAACCCTCCCATGGCGTCTGGCAATCCAGGCCCCCCAGTTTCCGAACACCAGAGCCCCCCGTTCCAATCCGCGTCCTTTCCTCCGCGCTAACTCCCGCACGCCTCCCCTCCTTCCTTCCCCCCTCCCCGCACCCAGGCCTGGGCGAACACCCCTTCTTGACCCCCAGCCCCGGCAAGGCTCGGGCCTGCAGCGCGGGGGGCTGCGGGCACTTCGAGCCATGGCGGTGGCGGGTAACGGTCTCGACAGTCGCTCTGCAGCATGGTGCAATACTGTATTGCTGTAAGCTATCAGAGATCTAAGGCTACGTCATTCGTTTGTGTTGAGCCTCGCCAGGTGCAGGAGTCCCTCGGCCCACTGGGGACAAAAAGCTCTCGTGGGGCGCATGCTGGCAGGCTGGTCTCTCGAATGATGCGCCTACGGCGAGTTGCCGTCGCGATGATTTCGCCGTTGATTTCTAACGCAGCGTGGATCGTGCGGCTTTGTACCATCGCGGCTTCCCGGCGGCGCAGATCGCTCGATACAGGCCGAGTCCAAGCCACTGGCAGCGTTCAGCTTTGAACGCCCGCGCTGGAGTCGCCGCCGCGTGGGCGCGGCGCGAACCTGCCGCAATCACAACGGTCGGCGAACGCATTCGCTGGCATGCCAAAGATCCGCCAAACAGCGGCCGGCGGTGAGCTGTCCGCACGTGCGCGGCCGCGCGGCGTGTCCAACTCGCGGGCGGCGGGCGCTCTCGCTGCAAGCAGCCCGCAACGCAGACCTCGCCGCCACCGATGGATTCCGCGTGCAGACAGGCCTCGGACAAAAGTAGCGAACACTCATGCCACATTCATCGGTCAACGCCTCCCCCCCAGCCCCAATCTACAAACGTTGGCGGTGCGTCTGATGAGCTGCACTTCGACCGCAGTCTCCTCCGCGCGCGCGCCAACTTTCAGTTCGGGGGAGCGGGGGAGTGCCCCAGCAGCAGCAGCAGCAGCAGCAGCAGCAGCAGCAGCAGCAGCAGTGTGATGGCTAGTAGCAGCAAGACGGCGTCGACGTTCAATATCAGAGGGGCTTTTGCTTTCGTGGACCCTGCGAGACATGGCGAGGAGGAAGGTCAGTGGGGCAACATGGCTCGCCTGCGGCATGGGCTGGAAGCTGCCGTTGGGCGCCTGGTATCTTCCCATGCAGCCCTGCTGCATGTACCTGCGGGTAAGGGGGAAAGGGATACCTCGTGGCATTATCCTAACTCGGACCTGCGGTTCACGACAATGCCGGTGCATGATTTGTGAGCTCACCGTCTTCCTGACATCTGCCCCCTTCCTAGTTCCTAGTCCTCGATGTCGGTGGCAGAATCCGACTGTTTGCCACGGGTACCGTCGGCATCACCTTGTCGGCCTCTGCCCCATCGGTGCCGGCACAAATTTCAAAACATCTCCGAGCCCGGGGACTGAGCAGATGGGGTCGGAGGATCGCGCCGCATCGCCGATGTATCGGCGCTGCGCCGGCGACGTCGGCGATGCTCCGGCGCCGTCGACGTATCTCATGCATCGCCGCATCGCCGATGCATCCGCGATGCGGCGAGATCCTCTGGCCCCGCCTGCTTCGACCCCATCTGGGAGCCCTGGACTCCCGTCCTTCTGCTGCCCCCGCTGCCCTGCTACAGGCCTCGGACCAAAATAGCGACACCTCATGCCACATTCGTCGGTCACCGCCTCCCCCTCCCCCCGATGCTCAAAGTTGGCGGTGGGCCTGGTGAGCTGCACTGCGACCAGTCTCCTCCGCGCATGCCAACTTTGACTTCGGGGGCGAGGGGAGGGGTGTTCACTCATTGCTTCCCTCTGCCGCATCCTGCCCTGGGCGCGCCTCCACCCCTCGCGCACTGACCTCAGCCATGGCTCACGCTTCCCAGGGGTGCACCGACCGACGGGCTGAGGAGCCGGAGAGAGGCGGACGGTCTCGGGAGGGGCACGGGGCGGCGGGGCCGCCCTGGCCGGCTAAGTACTGCTCCCCCCCCTGGGGCATGCTCGTGCTGTAGGCCATTTGGTCCTGCGCCGCCGCCCTCCGAGGGGCCCCGCCGCTTGCGAGGAGGAGAGAGATTCCCGGGCTGTCCGCTTTCCTCTTGAGGCCTCGTCGGGAACCTCAGAGGCGTTCAAGAAGGAGGCACCGGTGTTGCTGAAAATAACGACCATTAACATCATTCATGCTATGGTCGGTTCCACTGGTTGAAACATGTTTTGCGACAGCGGGCCGCTGGAGTACTCCACCGGCCAGTAAACTCATACATCCTCTAATGCTGCTTGTATTCCACATGAGTACTCAACCAGCTGGTCAACACACACATCCTCTGATGCTGTTTGCATTCGGATGCGTAGCGGGGCGCAGTCGGATGTTTACATCCTCTGATGATGTTTGCGTCCTCTGATGCTGTTTCCATTCGGCACAATCGGAATGATACATTTCTCAGGGACAACCCACACACAGATTTTGTGGCAGAATGGTGGCGGCGATGACCAGGACAGGGATGACTATCGACGCTCCTGGGGCAATGCACTTGAGAGAACGTTGTCAATCAAGTTCGATAAAGTCGAAGCTCACTCCTGACAGTGTCAGAGTGAGGGCGCGGGCGCTGGGTGGGTCGCGGGTGGGTCGTGGGCGGGTCACGGGTGGGTCGCGGGGTGGATCGCGGGTGGGTTGCGGGTCGGTCGCGGGTTCGTCGCGAGGGAGTCGCGGGTGGGTCGCGGGTCGGTCGCGGGTGGGTCGCGGGTGGGTCGCGGGCGGGTCGCGGGTGGGTCGCGGGCGGGGTCCCGAGAGGGACGACGACAACAATAACCCCCTCCCCATGTCTTGCCTCACCCGTCCGTCCTCCATTCTCCCCTCGATCGTCCTCCTCATCATCCTCATCCTCTTCTGGGTGCTCCTCCTCCTCCTCCTCATCCTCCTCCTCCTCGTCATCATCATCAGAATCATCACCACCACCACCATCCTCCTCATCCTCCTCCTCATCCTCATCCTCATCATCATCACCGTCATCATCATCATCATCATCATCATCATCATCATCATCATCATCATCATCATCATCATCATCATCATCATCATGATCATCATCATCATCATCATCAGCATCATCATCATCCCATCATCATCAGCAGCAGCACATTCATCATCAGCATCATCAGCATCATCATCACCATCATCAGCATCATCAGCATCATCATCATTATCGTCACCATCACAGGCTTGAACATCATCACCGTCGTGATCATGCGCATCATCGCACAAGCTCGTAAACCTCATCATTGCATTCATCGCGAACATGGTCATGATCATGCTCAACACCTGCATCATCACCATCGCCACAGCTACCCATCACCAACATACTAGTCATCGTTATCGTCACCACCATCATCATCAGCAGCATCATCATCAGCATCATCATTATCATCCTCATCATCATCATCATCATCATCATCATCATCATCATCATCATCATCATCATCATGGACATCATCATTACCACCACCATCATCATCATCCTCGTCATCATCGTCGCCCACATCGTCATCATCACCATCATCACTGCCATCACCATCATTGTCATCACCGTAGTCATGGTCATCAAATCTGCATCATCGTCATCATCACCATCATCAGCAGCAGCGGCATCAGCATCAGCAACAGCAGCAGCATCATCAGCATCATCACCGTCCATGGTCATCCAAAATCCAAACATGGATACACCATCGTCACATCCTTCTTCGTAATCATCCGCATCCTCATCAACATCCC